GGAAGGAAGAGCTGACTAAAGCTGAGCAGATCTGTGCTGGGGCAAAAAGTATGGTAGAAATAAGGTTTGTGCTAATCACCAAATGAGATGCCTAGTCAGGTGCTCTCTACAGGTGTGTTCTAAGGACAGTCTGTATTTCTCTGCAGGAGACTGTGTAGTGTTTTGTATTGTATGTATCTGCTTTACTTTTCCTCCTAGATTTCCTACTAGCTAATGAGTGCATGCAAAAAAAAAAAAAATCTGTCATGTAGTTGGTGCACAACTGTTTGTTAAATGATTAAATGTATTTCTGGATGAAGAACGGGAGGGGCTTTGGAGATAACCTAAATCCAACATGAGATCCTTTGACATAAATCCTCATTAATTAGTTTAGCAAGTTTTATTCAGCTTCACTCTCCCATAACGGAGGAAATATGTGTGCTCATTATCTTTTGTAAATAGAATAAGCCTCAAGTACACCTCCAAGAGTTGGAAACTCAAGAGGCAGCATATGAATACATCTTCATTAGGATCTAGCTTTATACAGTGAGTTTTTCTCTATTTAATCTTTTCTATAACATACAACATAAGTGTACCTAGGTAATATTGACAAAAATATCTATTAACGTTAGAAATTCCGTGGTTTTATATTTCAAGATTGTACATGAAAGGCACATTAATCTGCCAGCCCAACCTTGTTTTTGCTTTTAGAATTTCCTGGCAGTTTCAGTAACCTTCAACAGCTACAGTTGTCTGTTCAGCTCTGTTTCCATTAATAAGAAGTGAGATGTTTTATTTTTCCCAGCATAGGTCTCCTGTCAGGAGGGAAAAATGTTGTAAACCATCATCAAGCTCTATTCTACATAAATCACTGACTTTTAAGACTAAATTTAAATTATATAAATTCAGAACAGATTTCTGCATGTCCAGTGATATAAAAAACACCTCCTAAAAAGGAAATTTAAATTGAAAGGTTATGATACAGAGCACACAAGTCGACTAACAATTGCTTACTGGCCAGGCTGGTACAAAACCTTCTCAGGATGCTACAGAAATTCACTTACGGTTTATTCGTGTCATTTTCTGAAACTTCAAGAGCAGTTTGTTTGTTGTTAAAAGTATATGCTTTATTCAGAGAAACATGTAGAATTTAGACAGTTTAAAGAAACAATTCAGTGAATGTAAAACGAACTCAGAAAGTATTTAGAGAAACTACATTATGTTTATTTCTTTTTTTTTCTGGATAGTCTTTATTCCAGCAAAAAAACAATTGCAAAAAGAAAAAAAAAAAGCAACTTTGACCCTTGACATGATCCCTTTGCCTCATGGATGTTATATTCTAGTAGGAGAGACTGATGTTATGATGTTAATCAATTATGTCACCATATAAAAGTAGCTGATGGTATAGAGAGCAGATGACAGAAGACATGGTATCTAAACTGAAATCTGAAGGTTCAGTATGCATTAAGTAGGTGAAAGGTGGGAATGAAAGTCCGGCAGAGGCTATTTAAGGTAGAGGGCATTTCATGTGCAAAAAATATGCTATATAGTAAGGCTCAATTAGTGTGGTCCATAGGTTCTGTGACTTTAAGCAAAATGACATCTAAGGTAACCAGTTTTACTGTAGGCTAATTGATATAAACGTTAAGTTCCTGTGGCACCTCGTCAACATTATAAGGAAATGACATCATTTGAGGATCTGCTCTAGCTGGTGATTATAGCATATGCTCAAGGAAGCTTACAGAATCTCAGAACTGAGAAAGAGCAGGAGAGTGACACTGGTGTGGCAAAAAAGAGAGTCCAGAGCTAGACCACAAGGCCCCATGTTTCAATCTCTGTGAGAGCAGTGGGAAGTCTTTGAAAAGTTTTAGGCCTGTGAAATGACATGATCAGATGGGCATGTTGTAAAGATGAAGCTGGACATAATGTAAAGACGGGATTAGAGCAGCCCAATACTATGTGTAGGGAGAGCATGTAGGAGGCTGTTGCAATGGTCCAGGTGAGGTAAGGTGGTCCAGTATTTTAGATTATGGTGGGGATGAGGAAGCTGGAGAGAGGTGAGCAAGAGTCAAGAGAAATTTAGGAAGTATGCTACTACAAAACACTCATCGTTGGTTTTTTTTTCTAATGATTTGAGTAAGAGGTCTCCTTGTTAATGTAATATTATGGTAAATTGAAGCCTATCATTATGAGACTTAGCAATGGCCAAAGAGTTAATGTAATACAATGTTCTGAAACTAAAACTATGCTTAACAAACTTTTAATCTTCTCAGATGTAGCTTATAGTTGAGCATCTAAAAATCCGCAGGGTCTTCATTATGAATACCACAAGTTTTGAATTTATTATGAATGCCTATAGTATTATAGAGGTGGGAACTGCAGGATGGACAAGTGTTCAGGATGAATCTACAGTGATGTCAAAGCATGCATATCACAGGAGTGGCTCTTGTAGATTTCTTTCCACTTTTCTGAATGTTTTCAAAAATTTGGTTAAAACTTTTGAGATTCTTGGAAATGTGTATAGTTGGTTAAAACGTCAACATTTCTTAGAAGTAAATGCGTACATAAATGTATGTATGTCTTTGTATATGTAGAATGTGTTTGTATACAAACACATACATATATGTGTAGTTATATGGGTACTCACATCAATTTGTATTAAAATTTTATTTATGCTTTATTTTTTGATTATATAATTTATTTACTTTTGTTTTTTTAATTTTATTTTTTAATTTTAAATTTTAAAAAGCTAGACATACAATCCATGAAGTGATCCCCACAATTACTCGTTTTATTTTTATATAATTATTTTGTGTGCTTTATTTTTATATTTATTTTTAATGTTTTCTATTTTTATTATTCTTAAATGTATTTTTATTTTTATGTACACTTATAACTGTACATTTAATGGCCAAAAAGCATACTAAATGGATATCAGAAAATTATTATAGTCTGTGTGGCTATAACTAAAATTTTACTTGCTTGAATAAGCAATTGAAATCATAATTGAATCGAGGCTGAAACTGAGTTTATTATTTTCTAATTTTCCACAGTGTATTGTTTTATTCTTTTTATTTTGCCTATTTCACTCGTTATTTATTATTTCATTGATTTTTTTTTTCTCTAAGATAAGAAGATAAATATATCTTAACATGGTGTAATTCCATAGCTATCTGCTTTTGCTATCTTTATGGCTTTCCCAGGATAAAACTTTTGAAACTAGCAGATCGTTTTATTAGAGATTATAATTTTTTCTGAAGAATACAACTTAAGAAAATTGTATAACATACATATTGCTATTCAAGAAAGAACAGATGTTTTGGCGAAAGTATATCATGATTCACATGCCTGAGAGCATTAGCCTTCGCTTCAAGAAATATAATGTAATTCATCCTAAAGAAATAAAAGGCCACTCCCTGGTTGCTGAGAAGCTTTTAGCCAGAGTCTTCATAGCATCTATATCCCTTGGCAGTATTATTGCACTTGCAGGATTGAATTGCTGCTCTGAGATGCACCACATACACATAGCTGCTTGTTATACAAGTGATGCACAGTATCTCAGACTGTATATTTTTTTTCATTAACAGTACAAAAGTATTTGACACTCTGAAATAGATTGGGCTTCTTCAGTATATAGTGGAGTTTAACTCTCCTGACAAGTTCACCAGGCTCTAAAGTCTAGCCCCACACCAAGACCTCAGTCTTCAACTTTCCTTTTCTAGGCATGTGAAAAAATATTGATTAATAGTCTCTGGCATAATCAACCCATCTTCTGTGCATATATGTGACAGCATAATGGTGGGAATGTAAAATGATTCAGCTACTATGGAAAACAGTATGGAGATTCCTCAAAAAATTAAGAATAGAACTACCATATGACCCAGGAATTCCTCTTCTGGGTATCTACCTCCGCAAAAAAATTGAAAACATTTATCTGTAAAGATATATGCACCCTGATGTTCATCACTATTCACAGTGGCCAAGACATGGAAAAAAACAGATTATCCTTTGATAGATGATTGGATAAAGATGTGGTACACATATACAATAGAATATTACTCAGCCATAAGAAAAGATGAAATACTGCCATTTATGACAATATGGATAGATCTTGAGATAATCATGCTGAGTGAAATAAGCCAGACAAAAAGTTGAGAACC